ATGTCCTATAACAATTTGTTCTTGACAGAAAATAGCAGTCTTATCTTCTCAGATATAGTCAACATTCAATCTTATAATTCCCCAAATATGCTCCAGTGTCATTGGGGATTAGTCATGGATGATTTCAGCACAACTTTTCACTCATTGGTTATAAGAAAAATAAAAGACTGAGATGTTTAGTTTCAAACACAGGTAATATGAATCTGATCCCCACTAATCACATCAAAGCTGGTCCTGACAACCAGGTTATTCCAATTTCCCTCAGTCCCCACTAGCTAGAGGTTATGTCACACATACCCCATATTCTACAATGAATGCTCCAGCCTTGGAGATATACTCTATTAAAAATGTTCTATTACTAATAGTATATATTTTCCTACACTCCTTATCATATATATATATATATATATATGTATAAATGTATATTATATATATATTTATAAATATATATATTGTAAATATATGTGATGATCTCCATATGTTCTTCAGCCAATTAATTCAGTTTGAGGAACTTTCTTTGTATCTTTGAAACAGGATGTTATTGCCCTCACATAGCCCAATTGGTTTATTGATTGCTTTTATATCAATTTTGAGAACTCTTTCAGTTTCAACTATACCTACAACTTTTTTTCAGCAGGCACATGTTGCAGGAGCTCCTTCCGCTCCTTCAGTCAATAGCCACTGAGATACTAGCCATGGAGCTTCCACAACACCTGCAAACTGATAATTGTGTGGACTATTTATCTAGAAATGTTTTATAAGCATTGATTGCTCAATAAAAAATGATGGAGAATTAATATATACAATACTGTTTTAGGAGACATTCTCTACATGGGGAAAAGATTCAACACATTAAGAAATCCTTAACCATATTGTATAAAGCTCACTATAAGTAGATTCATGTTACTTCTCTGTGTAACAGTAGATCAGAAATATCATTTGACCGCAGCGTAGTTCTCTAGCGTGTATATATTCCATACTTTCTTCATCCGTTCTTCCATTGAAGGGCATCTAGGTTGTTTCCAGGTTCTGGCTATTACAAATAATACTGCTATGAACATAGTTGAACAAATGCTTTTGTCATTTGATAGAGCATCTCTTGGGTATATTCCCAAGAGTGGTATTGCTGGGTCCAGGGGTAAGTTGATCCCGAATTTCCTGAGAAACCAAAACACTGACTTCCACAGTGGTTGCACAAGATTGCATTCCCACCAGCAATGGATGAGAGTACCCGTTCTTCCACAGCCTCTCCAGCAAAGGTTATCCTTGGTGTTTTTGACTTTAGCCATTCTGACAGGTGTAAGATGATATCTCAAAGTTGTTTTGATTTGCATTTCCCTGATTGCTAAGGAAGTTGAGCACGACCTTAAGTGTCTTTTGGCCATTCGAACTTCTTCTGTTGAGAATTCTCTGTTCAGTTCAGTGACCCATTTTTTAATTGGGTTAATTAGCATTTTAAAGTCTAGTTTCTTGAGTTCTCTATATATTTTGGAGATCAGACCTTTGTCTGTTGCGGGGTTGGTGAAGATCTTCTCCCAGTCAGTAGGTTGCCTTTGTGTCTTAGTGACCATGTCCTTTGCTTTACAGAAGCTTCTCAGTTTAAGTAGGTCCCATTTATTCAATGTTGCCCTTAATGTCTGTGCTTCTGGGGTTATACATAGGAAGCGATCTCCTGTGCCCATCTGTTGTAGGGTATTTCCCACTTTCTCTTCTATCAGGTTCAGTGTGTTCGGACTGATATTGAGGTCTTTAATCCATTTGGACTTGAGTTTTGTGCACGGTGATACATATGGGTCTATTTTCATTCTTCTACAGGTTGACATCCAGTTGTGCCAGCACCATTTGTTGAAGATGCTTTCTTTCTTCCATTGTATACTTTTAGCTCCTTTATCGAAAATGAGGTGTTCATAGGTTTGTGGGATAAAATCCGGGTCTTCTCTACGATTCCATTGGTCGACTTCTCTGTTTTTATGCCAGTACCACACTGTTTTCATTACTGTAGCTCTGTAATTGAGTTTGAAGTCAGGGATGGTAATGCCTCCAGAAAGTATGGAATATATATATACGCTATAGTACTACGCTGCGGTAAAAAACAATGACTTCTCGAATTTTGCATGCAAATGGATGGAAATAGAAAACACTATCCTGAGTGAGGTGTCCCAGACCCAAAAAGATGAATATGGCATGTACTCACTCATAATTGGTTTCTAGCCATAAATAAGGACCAAGGAGTCTACAATAGGTGAACCTAAAGAAGCTAAGGAAGAAGGTGAACCCAAGGAAAAACATATAGTTGTCCTCTTGGCTAAGGGAAGTAGACCAAAGTTCTGGGGAGAAAATGGGATCTTGGGGGGGATGGGGGTAAGGGGAGATGGGGAGAGAAAAGGTAGAATGGAAGGAGGGGGGACCTGGGAAACATGAGAATTGGGATAAAGGAAAGGTGGATAGGGGAGCATGGAACCACAATTCTTAGTTAAGGGAGCCACTTTAGGGTGGGCAAGAGACTTGACCCTAGAGGGGCTCCCTAGTGCCCCAGATGAGGTTCCCAGTTAGTTCCTTGGGCAGCTGAGGATTGGGAACCTGAAATGACCCTATCCTAGAGCAATACTGACGAATATCTTGCATATCATCATAGAATCTTCATCTGGTGATGGATAGAGATAGAGACAGAGACCCACACAGGAGCACTGGACTGAGCTCCCAAGGTCCCAAGGAGGAGCAGAAGGAGGGAGAACATGAGCAAAGAATTCAGGACCACGAGGCGTGCATCCACCCACTGAGACAGTGGAGCTGATCTACGGGGAGCTCACCAAGGACAGCTGGACTGTGACCGAAAAAGCATGGGATAAAACCGGACTCTCTGAACATGGCGAACAATGAGGGCTGATGAGACACCAAGGACAATGGCAGGGGGTTTTGATCCTACTTAATGTGCTGGCTTTGTGGGAGCCTAGCCAGTTTGAATGTTCACCTTCATAGATATGGACGGAGGGGGGGGGGATCTAGGACTTAACACAGGGCAGGGAACCAGGACGGCTCTGTGGACGGGAGAGGGAGGGGGAGAGGAGTGGGAGGAGGGGGAGAAGGGTGGGAGGAGGGGGAGAATTGTGGGAGGAAGGGAAGGGAAATGGGAGGCTTGGAGGAGGTGGAAACTTGTTTTTTGTTTATGTTTTTTTTCTTCTTCTTTTCACAATAAAAAAAAGAAAAAAAATAATAAATAATAAACCACTAGCAACAAAAAACGATGCATCCACAGAGTGGATTATTCAGCTGAAGAAGAACTGAAAGCACCAAGCTCCACCACAACATGCGTGAATGTTGGCAACATTGCACTAAGTGAAGAAGCCAATCACAGACAGTCATATGGTAAATGGTTCTATACATACGGAGCACGCAGATGAGATCAGCCCATAGAGTCAGACTGTAGACGCATACTTTCAGGGAATTCGGAGGAAAAGAACAAGCAATGATTGCTGATGGGTAAAGGGTTTCTATAGGGAACGCTGATGAATGTTTTGGAGTCTGTGACAGTGGTCACTCAGCTCATTGCATACTCTGTAGCCAAGTTATTTTGTGTGTGAACTGGATATAAATTGTAAACCAATCTAAAAAAAAAAGAAAAAAAAAGAAATATCCTTTGAGAAAGTGCAGCTACACTTATAAGTTACTTGGAATTGTTCTCAGATTGCTATAAATATAAATGTTCTTCATTCTTTAATTAGTGCCATTAGTCATTCTAGGCTGAAAACGTGCTCTATAGAAAAGTTGCCTTCAGACCTTTAGAATCCATGATATTCTCTGTCCAAAGAGAGATTCACGTGCTTCATTTCACAAACAAAGGGGGAAGAGATTCCAGTGGCCATGCCAAAGGAACCACAGATTACAATTGACTTCAGAGTGTCAGCCCACCACGAAGTGAATCCCTTATGGGTAAATCTTGGATAAAAAAAAAACCAGTGCCAGAGATCATAAAGTGTCTTTTGATTCTGCTGTGCCATCTTTCTCTGATATGTGGAATGGTATGAATTTGTATGCAGAGAATCTCACTGCCTGTAATGTAGTGTGTTTATCTCATAGATAAATTTTGTTTTACTGGGCACTTTTACCTATGGATTAAATGAAGGTTATTTCTTCTTAGGTTGTATTGTCTATTTGATAATAATAATATTAGTTTAATAGAGTTTTAATGATAAAAAAGAATAAAGTATTCCATAGCTAGAACACATGAGGTACAAGGTGGAATAGAGGTAAAAAAATAAAAAAAAACACAAGGTAAAATGTACATTAATAAATTGGTTAAATTAAGTTATAAATGCTGATGGAATAAGCCAATAAGCCTAATCTATAGGAGTTTTCATAATTAATTATAAGTCTTCATGTTACTTTTTAGGGAGCTGTTGGCCCAAAGAAAAATCTATCTACAGGTCTCTACCAGAACATTTTAACTAATTCCAATGTAGGAAACATGGGTAATTTTAAAATGAAATGTCAGGTTTCTATTTCAATGTTTCAGAACTTTCCTGTAACAAAACAATAAAATAAAGAGAAGATCAAATATAAAAAATGAATAAGATTATGAGTTAAATAAATTATTACACTAGTATACAATCTTCTTTGGAGCAAATACTAAACTTGTAACTTAGACATTTGAAGTTAAAAGAAAATCACAAATTATAACACTTCAAGATAGGGTTTTCCAATATAATAAAATTTCCTGAACAAGAATGCTACAAAGAAAGAAATATATTATAGGACAAATTATAATTAGTCTTAATAAGAAATAACTGGAAATGGATAACAGAGTAAGTGCTGAAAGAGCAGCAATTAAAGGAGCCAGCAATTAGAGAGACTTCTTTTTACAGGGATCTGTTTTCTATGTTTCTACCGAGTAATCTCATAATCCTATTCAAAGGCGAAAGGCAGGGTATTTGTTTTGTTTCTGTCTGGGCACATAAGAACCAGCTTCCCTCAGGGTTTCTGACACCCTCAGGATGTGGTTTTCACACTGTGTCTCTAGCACAGTAATACATGGCTGTGTCTTCATTCTTGAGGCTATTAATCTGTAGATATGCAGTGCTGACAGAGGTGTCCATGGAGAAGACAAACCGTCCTTTGAAGTCATCAGCATAGTTTGGGGTCCCAGTGTTTGTATTTATGTACCCCATCCACTTTAGGGGCTGTCCTGGTTCCTGCTTCACCCAGTTCATTGCATAGTTTGTGAAGGTATACCCTGAAGCCTTGCAGGAGATCTTCACTGACTGCCCAGGCTGCTTCAGTTCAGATCCAGACTGTACAAGCAGGACCTCTGCTTGAACACCTATGGAGAGAACATGGGAAAGTAATGAGACATGCAACTGCCTCAGTTTACTCTGGATCTCTGGATTTTGATGACTTACTTTGGACAGCTGCCAGCAGGAAAAGGAGCCTCCACACCCACTCCATGTGTTATGAGATTGGGACAGAGTTGTTTCTTGAGAGTAATCAGGCACTCCCTTGCTAGGTGAGGGAGGAAAGACTCAGATTTCTATTCTAAAGGTTTTGCATATGGGAGATTTGCATATGCCTGGGTAGTGAACAAACCCAGATATTAGTTCTAATATACAAGAATACATGATTCCAAGTGAGTAAGCCCATCCCCAGTGTCTGGTGTTCATGTCTTCATGTTGGTTGTGCTGTCCCCCAAGGACTCAGCTGCACGATCCTGTTTAATGGGGGCAACAATGGTCTTTGCCTCCCATTCACCATGTGCCTGTCTAAGTGCCTTTATCATTTCTTGTGTAGACTGTCCTCGACAAACTGAGACATCTGCACCAGTTCTTCCTTGCCTATTGTTTTTAATTAGGTGCTGTGCATGAATTCTTAAGGTTCACTCCTTTATTTGGGTCTAACCATTCTTGATAAAGCAGATAGAAATAAAATACATTTCTATTCCAAATTATGAAATGGGTGGTCTCTCTTTACATAAGTTATGTAATAAAAGTTATAGATTTGAAAAAGAGTAAAGGGGTACATGCTGAAGTTTAGAAAAAATGATGTACTTATATTAATATAAATATTTAAAATTACTATAATAAAATTGGTGAAACAGACTTTCTAATGAGGAAGCGTAGAAATCTGGTAAGATAGATCAGTGGTTATATACATGTACTTCTTTCCAAAACACTTGAATTTTATTCCTAGCACCCATAGGAAGCGCACAACCACCTACAATTCTCAGTACATAAGGTACAAACCCTGTCAGCCTTCTTTGGCACTTATGTCCATATACCCACAAAAAGACTGAGACACATAATTACAATTATAATAATTTGAAAACAAAGAATAGTTTAATCAGAAATCAACTTAAGTGAAAAATCTTACAGGAAAATATGAAATCTGGGTATATTGCTTGTAGTTTTGTAAATGTTTCAGTGAAGACGATCAATTCTGGATATTTTGAAATCTCTGGAAGAACTTTTGCTCATTTTAACTTCTTTTCTGCTCTTTTATAATCCAAACTTAACAATACTGAAAATCATCGCAGAAATCTGATTTATGAAATTTACACATTTGATGCTTCTAATGAGATATAAATTTGAAAAAAATGGCTTGTAGGAATGTACAGTTCCTGCCATCATCATAAACAAAGTTATAAGCAGGCTGAGAAGAAAGATACAAGGGATATCTAGGGATGTCTTGCTTCTGACATAAAAAGGTAGTATTGTTTGAATATGCACAGTAGTGTGTGCTGATAGTTTGAATATGGGACAGACAATAACTGGGCACAACAGAAAAAAAGGTTGAGTATGACAGATAATTTAAGAAATAAGTACAAGACTGCTATGCACAAAGACCAAGCTTTTGTAGTTTTCACCATCCACATTCTGGTAGCCCCAATGCTATTTATCAAAATAAGTCAATAATTGCCAGCTTCATGATCCTGCACTTTGTTCTTTATACTGGGCAGGAAGAGGAAGTCAGGACTAATGAAATGTATATTCTGGTCTTCTGTGCACCTGGCTCGAGGATACAAATGAAACCGTGGAGATTTGGTGCCCTCTGATGTATGACTGGATTCCTGCAGTATAATGGTCTTACTCCTATGGTCAAAGCACCCTGAATGCTCCCTGTACATTCTTTGTCAGGAATAAAGTCCTGTCACAATGCTGCTCCATGATTTGGAATTGAGGAATAAGATATTGTAGAAATATTAAAAATTCTGTTAATTTTAGATTATAACTTAAAATTATGTGTTTATTTTCTTCTGCTAATGGTAGGTGGGTCACATAAGCATAGGTAATTTATTGTGGCAAGTGAAACAGTTGGTCTACCAGGGGCATTTAGAAGTACTCCTCGTCAGATATTGATGCAGTAAGTCAGGCATGGCTCTGTGAGAGACAGAACTTTTCCTATGATATATGGTATAATTTCTTTTGTGATTTTATTGTTCTGGGTGGACACAGATGTGTCACAATAAGTAACATAGCTTACAGTGGTTGTCTTGTATGTGCTTCATACTGTCTCACTGTGGTATCATGTCAGTGCCTCATTCAGAATCACATGTATATTCTCTTCAGGGGAACATACACATATATTCCCTATGCCATTGACAGGTTTATCAATTTCTACTCAAATTATTGTTTTTCCTTTATCTGTTTATCATTGTCAAGTTTCATGTGAAATTCAAATGAGCAAATATTGAAGTAAACAAAAACCTTGAAAGTTACAGTATTCACATTGCTGGGGTTAACCTAGCTCTCTACTTCCTAACATCACTTCAAACTCAAGGAAAACCATGCATCCTTATTTGCACGCGATATTCCCAGGACATTCTCATCATAGCCTCTATGGAAATATCTGCCTTTGAGTCTCATGGAGTTGAAAATGTAATGTATGAAATAGTAGTCTATGTTTTCTTTAACTTTTAATCTCCTCCAGATTCACCCATACTGTAGGATAGAAATCAATGCATCCAATGCTAAATGTTGAGAGAACAGCATGACATTTTATGGACATATTAGAGATGTAAAATCATTCAACAGTTAACAGTTTCTGAAGCAGGATAAAATATATTTTAAGATGATGACCATCTGGGTAAAAATTCTTATAAGAATTCCAAACTTTGGTATTTTATTATACACCACAATGAAGCAAACTGATGAATCACAAATGCTAACTCTTCATTTTGGGTATTGAGCCTATTTACACAAACTCGCTTAGTGTCCTCTCTCATTTTCTCTCCATGTCTCTGTCTTTCTCTCTGTCTTTCATTTTGTGCATGGTGTTTTTAAGTATTGTAAGTGTTTGTATTTGTGTACACAGGTGAGTGTGCTTGTATATATTCACAGCATACAAAGGGGAATCCCACATCACCTCCCCTTTTCTGTCCAAATAATAAGGCCCCAACCTGACTGGCTTGCTTTTACCTACTAAGCATTTTTTTTGTAAATCCCCACCAAATGGGAGCTAAGCACAGTGACTTTGAAATTTCTCAGCTCCACACACATCACCCCTCCCCACTACCATGCAGCAACTTGTGCAGTTTCTGATTTGTGCTCTCTGCTCATGAATTCTCACTTCCTTTCTCCATGTATAAAATTGATTTAATTGCTATAATTTGTCTAGCAGGGCATATTTCTCAGTATTTAACTAGGCACAAAGGCAGAAAATTAAAGAGGCACAGAGCTACTCATGCCACCACTGGTTGCACAGCCACTGGCCGGCAACACTTTGCCCCACAGCTGCAACCACAAAACCTGCTAGAAAATAAAGATATTATACCTAAAACAGTTTACTGAAATCTTATAATACAGGTAACTATTTGATTAATAAATGAATCAATAAACTTGAAAGTTAAAAATGGTAGACATTATTATTATCCAGGAATTTAAGAACCTTTTTACTTATACTATGGATTGCATATTGCAAGGCTTGTATGGTTATTGTGATATATTCAATTATTGGATATTGGGACTCATTTTTTTCTCTATATTAAATCTTTAAGAAAATATTTGATAACTGAGTCAAGAATGAGGCACTTTAAGAAATAATAAAATCTTTATAGACTAATAATTAAAATCTAGATGACAAGATTAATATCATCAAAAATCAAATATTACATGAAAAAATTAATACTATTGAAAAATATAACTTTAATTTGACAGGCAAAATTCAATCCATGCCAAAGGGTACTGAGAAATAATCTGAAAGTATTCATACTGTTGAATTTGACAATCAAACTCTATTAAAAATAATGATGTTATCAGATATGCTAGTATATATACAGGAAGGCAATATTCATGCTATCTAAATAAAGTTCAAGGAAGAGATATTATCTTTAAAGGAAAAACTTCATGCCTTGGAAGGACATGTGCAGAATGAGGACCAGAGGCTAGGTAACTCAATGAAATCACTAGAAATATATACAGAACAAGAGATTTAGGCTTTACAAAAGATAATAGTAAAAAGATTTTAAATAATTCAGGAAATTATTGGAGCTGATGAGCAGAGAAAGAAGGTACAACAACATTATTTAACATGACCAATACCTAACAGAGATGACTACCCAGGATTTTAATTTCCTACCCAGTAATCAACTCTGAAAAATCATCAAGTTCTAAATGCCCATAAGGATCCAAAGACTGTTAATGGATACCTATAGACATCTTTTAGACCATCTAAATGGTCTACAAAGAAAATAAACAATCAGTAGTATCTTATAGCTTGCATTCAGAAATTGTCAGGGAGATAGTAAAGGCATGGATTTCTAACAATAAGGCTGCCCACTACAACTGGCATCAATTAGTTCCAGCCATCCTGGATTATGGGCCACAACTACTGTGGGAAAGTTATTTTTGGGGAAGAGGCAAAACTTTTAGGACAACAGGGAAAATTAAAGTTCTTGAGACTTCCCAAGGTCAAATCCTTAATAAGGGAACTTATGCTGCCCCACAGGCTCAAGCTTTTTACAATGAACATATCTTGTTTCTATGCCACAAAGTAGCCTCGGGATTCAAGAACTAGGAAAATGACATGTGTACCAGGGTTAAACAGGGCCAGAGAGAATCATTCAGTGACTTTTTATAATGATTAACTTAAGCTGTACAAATAGGAGTAAAAGACCCCAAATCTAGACCAGTACTTAGTGAATCTCTGACTTTTGAAAATGCCAGTTTATAATGCAAAATAATACTTGGGCCTTTAAAAAATAGATGATTCCCAATGGATGAATGAATCCTGCACACAATGAACATTAAGACATCTGACTATAATACTGAAACTTAGGTAGGAAAAGCAATTTCCAAAGCTATAAGGAGACATCAAAATGCCAAGTATTTCAATTGTGGTAGAATAGGACATCTGAGAAGGGACTGTGGAAAAAGAATTCCCAGATATAATGTCTCCTATAGTAATAGCAAAAATAACAGGTATCAAACTTTTGAATTATGTAGGAGGTGTGGCAAAGGCAAATCCAATAAATACAGATCAATAAAAGAGAGACAAGGTAACC